CCCAGAAATATGGGCCGAACCCAGAAATATGGGCCGAACCCAGAAATGTAGGCCGGTGTTGTGCCAAACATCAATGGGCTGCCAAATGGCGGCCGAGGGAGCATGTACGGGAGGACTTTAACAAGAATTTAACAAGATTAACACTTAAAACTTTTATTTGTTTGTTCGAAATTATAGTAAAGGTGTGTCTCAGTCTAACGTTTCCTTAATAAATGCACTTTGACGGTCAAATGAGCTGCATTTTGCCGGGGCGGCACATCGAAATGAAGCTGATTCAGTTGCTCCAGGTAGACGACAGTGGGAGTCTACCTGGAGTAGACAATTCAGTCTACAATTGTGTCATTAATAGCCACTTTTACCTATTACATAATACAAGGGCATGCCGTACTACTCAAGTGCCATCTAGTGTCTGAATATGGTGTTCAATATTTTCAGTCAGAATGAATGAAAACGATCATATCTCAGCCAATAATTGGTTTATAAATATGGGCAAAAAAAACATAAATACGTCACTTTGGCCTATAAGTCATAGGGCATGCAAATTATGCAAAAAATGTGACTTATAGGCCAAAAAATACGGTAGTGCTCTCAAATCAAAATTTTAAATTGGCAGCAGCATGGCAGTCCCCATCAAAGTTTCTCCAGGAACTTTCTAGTATCTACTAATGTTTAAGGATTTGATTTGGCACTAAATAAAGATTAAAAACTTTTGTTTTCTGTTTTGTTTTGCAGCCATCTTCTTTTTCCTGACTCGTCTGTTCTGAAGATGGTGCTCCATGGATAGGCGGGGATGGGCACAAACTGAACCGACCGGACTTCATCATCACCTGAACATGGCTGATGACCTCTACAGCAGCACCTTCTCTGCTTCCGAATCAGACTTCTCCTCTTCCTCCTCCTCCTCTGCCTCCTTCCTCACGCTCGAGCAAAGGGCAGCCTTTGTCTTCGTCCTCATTCTCTTCATCTTCTTGGGCTTGCTGATCGTTCGCTGCTTCAGGATCCTTCTGGACCCGTACCGCAGCATGCCGTCCTCCACCTGGACGGACTTCATGGAGAAAGACACCTTTGATTACCGGATTTCCTGACAGGCAGCCTGAGAGACAGCAACCCTGACAAACCAACGAGTGAACTGAGGTGACGATCATTATGAGATAAAGATGGGCAAAACACAAATGCACATTTTCTTTTTGGAGATTATATAAATAAAACCAGAACCGCCAGCTCTTACAAGCAGATTTTAAAGCATTCACAACATGGAGGTTGTTGAATCTGTTTTGGTTCTAAAACTAAACTCCGTCTTGTTAGACCATTAAGATTGTATCTCAAAGGGTTGCGACAAAAAAAAGGGCAAATGTCACACTCATCCAATTTTGGGTGTTTAATACCAAGTAACCAGTGAAGTGAGGGTGTGATTCATACGGTGGCCCTAAGGTGTAAATGAACAAAATTTGAAGAAAAGGAATTACATTTGAAAAAAGACAACAAAAATAACAAAAGCACAACATTTGAAAAAATAAAATTATATTTAAAAAAAATGAATTACATTAAGTCAAAGCGGAAGTGGACAAAGTGGAAGTGGCCGGAATCACATTCGAAAAAACAGAATTACATTTGGAAAAAAACGGACTTACATTTGAAAAAAGACAACAAAAACAACAAAATCACAACAACATTTGAAAAAAACGGAATTGCATTTGAAAAAAAACGGGCTTACATTTGAAAAAAGACAACAAAAACAACAAAATCACAACATTTGAAAAAAACGGAATTGCATTTGAAAAAACAGAATTACATTTGAAAAATAAAGTTAATAAATAATGATTATTATAATAAATAAATAAATAATAATAATAATAATAATAATAAAGCTAATAAAGATTTTTTTTTTTTTATTCCTCTTTGGCTTAATATAATTCCATTTTTTCAATTGTAATTCTGTTTTTTCAAATGTTCATTTACACCTTATGGCCACTGTAGATTTGCCTGTTTTTGAACATCAAGACTTTTTTGTGCGCCAAGCACAATATTTTGTTGCCCACGTCGTATCTGCCTGGGCAGCTGGCTCCACGTGTTAATCTACTGCAGTTTAGGAATGTAGAACAGGTAAATTGGAACCACATGGCAAAAAAAAATCCCAAACGGTTCAACGTGACTCTGCGACTATCGAGAGAAAAATTGTTGCAGAAATTTTCTGATTAAATTTACATAAGGCTGCAAGCCTCTCTGACTTAAAAGAGGACATTGATAACCCCGCGAACAATACGAGAATCCCTCCCGAATGTTGCTGGTCGACAAGTCGCAACCCGTGAGATCCCACTTTAATCGAAATGACAAACTGGACAAGTGTCTCTTCTAACTTTGACTTCAACACTTTTCTTTAACGTACAACTCAAATTGCTCTTAAAAACTCTTAGAAAGTTCAAATTAGCAAAACTTCAGCAAAGCATAGAAGCTCACAGGGACACTTTTTCTTGCAAAGCCTTTCGACAGATCTTAAAATATCTAAATATTGAGGCGTGTTATATTTGTTAAATCAACTGTTATAGAAGTAAAAACCAACAATTTGGAGTTTTAACTTTTGCTCCTGGACTTTCTAAGAAAACAGTTTATGCTCTCAGGCTTCATTTCTCTTGGAGACACTGGGATTGAATGTGAGTGGTGACAGCACCCACTGCAGTGGCAGGACAAAGAAAAGAAAATGTGCATTTTGTGATGTTCCTGCTTTGATTGTGATCGTCGCCTCGGTGTGCCCGGCAGGCAGCACATCTGAGCAGAAACACAGAAAGATTCAAAGAAGAAACATTTACTTGACAAAAAACAATAATTGAAACTTTTTAAGAGTGGCCAACATTTCTCAAAAGATTGTTGCTCACGAGTGGATTTGCATCATAATTTGTGATACTGGTGCAGCGTTGGCTAAAACCCAACAAACTGGATGTTTGGTGCCGTCTGCTCTGCAGCGGTGCTTTCTGCTCAGATCTTGTGAAAGCTGAAGGAATCCCTCCGCTCTGCAGCTCTCCGACTGCAGCGCTGATGCAGTGAGACCACGGAGTTGTTGTCGGAGCGTGAACGGTGAGCGGGGGTTTCATCAGCTGCCTGCCGGGCACCATGTTAGGGTTGCTGCCTCTCATGGGGAGAAGATTTGTTTTGTCTTTTTTTGTTTCTCCACTTTTAAAATAACTTTTTTTAAATTATTAAGAGACTTTAAGAACTCGTCCAAACAGTTTGTGAAACACAGAGAAGATGCAGTGTTATTTTTTGAGCGGTTTGCGTGGAGGTGGATGTGGAGGAGGCCCGGGAGAGTTGAGAGTGAACAAAGCTGCGTTGAATCGGTTTGACTGCAGAAATGAGACAAGTCGGCTTCCAGTGGCTCTCCGTCGTCCTGCCAGCCTGCCTGTTGCTTGGTAACTGGTGTTTTTTGGTGTCGGCTGAAGGCTGCAGTCAAAAGATCAGCTCTGAAAGAACGGAGGTGTTTCAAAACAAATGACCACCATAAACTCAACATTTCCCAGATGTTCCACCAGTCGGTACGTCAGTAAAGCCTGACCGGTGGTCAGGAGAGCTGTCTGCATGCAGGTGAGTCTGTTACTACCTCAGCGGGTCTCACTTCTCTAATCCTTGGCTTAATCTACAAAAAAGTCAAATATTTTGGAGCTGCACATAAAACAAGCTGCTGGAGCTTCGTTATTTGTCACGAGCCGAATGCATCATTCCATAAAAGATAGCTGTTTACTCCAACAAAGTTAAGTCAGGTCATCTGGACGGTTTCTTTTTTTGTTGAGACGTTTCATCCGTCATCTAAAATACTTCATTTGGCCGAGGAGTCACAAACAAACTGAGTCCCACAAGCAGCACACTCACATGGTGGGTCAACCAGTTGGATGGTGATAAGATGGTTTCTGGGGCTCGCCCTCTCCAGTGTAGACTCCTCTGAGGCAGCCATAGTCAAAGTGGTTCAAACCATCAAAGTTCATGCTCAATAATCCAGGTAGAAAATCCAACAAAGTTCAGTCAGATCATCTGGATGGTTTCTTTGTGTTGAAACGTTTAGTCCTTCATCCAAAGGACTTCATCAGTCCGATGAAGTCTGAAGTCCAATTGACTTTTTTTTAACCTGGATTATTGAGCATGAACTTTGATGGGGGGGTGGGGGTTACGTTATTTTTCATTTTTCAAAATTATTTGGGCATTTAACAGAAAAATAAAGAAAAAACAAACAAATAAATAGGAAAGAAAAAAGAAAAACATAGAAACAAGCATACATGAGGGAGTTTCACAGGTACATATCATTTCTACAAACTATCGAACATATAAGATCCGTGGAACTGATGACTTATTCTCTCCGTCTACAACAGCACGGGGAGGAAAAATACTGGAAAATGGAACGATTTTTCACATCCTGTGATAGATGACGATGTTTGTAAGAACTTTGATGTTTTGAACCACTTTGGCCACGGCTGCCTTAAAGGAGTCGACGGGGGAGAGGACAGACTCCAGAAACCGTCTTATCACCATCGAATTTGTTGGACCACTATGTGAGTGTGCTACTTGTGGGACTCAGTTTGTTGTGGCTCCTCGGACTGATGAAGTCCTTTGGATGAAGGATGAAACGTATAAACAGAGATTTTCTCCATAGTGTCCTCTCACTTCTGCTTTTTGACGTTTCACTCCGATCCTGGGAAAGTTTTGCGAGTTTTAAGAAACTCCGAGCGAAGTGTGAGCAACTTGAAACCTAAAGTTCTGGATCAATGTCTCTCCTCCAGGCTGCCCTTCCAAAAGATTCAGTTGAATCCATTCATACTTGTAAAATTATCCAAACTCTTTCTGCTCATTTGTCTTTTTTTAATCCAATCGAGTTTTTTTTTTTTAAACAGAGCCAGCCTCAGGATTCAAAAACAACACGATCAGCAGAATTATGTAAGGGACATCTGGTCCTTAAATCCCACATATTTTACAGTTGAACCAATGCATAAATTAAATATATAGATAAATGAAGACAACGCTTGGAGAAGTGCAACGTTTCTCCATTTATTCACACACGCTGAAACATTGCTGTGAGCATACTGTTCGAACATCTGTCACCAGGTCAGACTCAGATGGAAGATTTTTTTTTTTAAATATGCATATTCTGCTGCACATGGAGCCTCTGTGAAACAAAACGATGTGCGTTACTATCGTTTTTTCCACTCACTATGGAATAACATTCAATCTAACAATCATTTTTTAAAACTCAGCCAATTAAAGAAAATTGATTTGATGCCAAAATGAAGCAAATAAAACCATGAGTGTCTCTTGCGTTGAGTCAAGTACCATCACGGTCACCTTAAGCTCCTTAGGGTGTTGCTCTCTCACTACAAAATTATCAAGTGTTGGTTGTTTGAATGTGCATTAAGGCACCAAAACCAGAAATGTTTGGCACTGGTGAGAGAAACGAGGGGATCTTGTTACAAAAACGTCAGCATTTGACATCCATGGTTGCCAACTGGATCTGATGAAACCAACTGGCACAAAAGGCGATCTAAAACTCAACAATTTTCTTAGATCAATTATTTGGTGTGAAAGAGCAACACTCAGCAGCAGGGGTGAGTCTAGAATCTGATTCATCAGGGGTGCCTAGCCCCCACTGCTGATAATGGCTCTTGGCTTGAACAATGCAGTGGCCACTGGCATCAGAAGCAGGTGTAATGTGAGGGGACGCACTAGTGGGGGGGTCTGGGGGTCCTCACCCAGAAAATTTTGGATAAAGTAGATGCCATTTCCTGCATTCTGGTGTATTTTAAGGAATTGTTAAACATCCATGTTTACCTACATAAGTAACACTTGGTTCAATAACTATTTTAGAGTTAATGGCACAACAAGAAGTAACCTGACCAACAGCTCTCCCTATGTGAATAGAGCACACTTCTGTCCTGCTCCTGCTTGTCATTACATTTTTCAGGGGTGCTGGGTTAAAATGTAGGGGTGCTTGAGCACCCCCCAAAAAGAGGCTAAAATCGCCACTGCTCAGCAGAATCAAACTAAAGGGGATCGTCTCAACCAGTTGGAATCAGAGGACGACAAAAAAAGACAAACAGCAGAAATAAATCTAAGAAACCTGACAGGTTTGTTACGTTGACTCAACAAAATACTTTTAAAATGCCAGTTTTATCCAAACATTAACAAGACATTAAGTATTCGGCACATACCTGTTACCTGGTAGGTTTCTGGCTCTTACCTGGTTTTTACGTACCTGCTGTGTACCTGGTATTTATCAGTCAAGAACCAGGCCTGTACTAATTACTTACTGGATATAAGCCTGGTACTTACTGGGTAAATACTGAATACTTAACTGGTACTTGATAAGTACTTGAAAAGTGTTTAGTACCTACAGGGACTGGGCTGTACTGTGAAGTGATGTGTAACCCTGAGGTTACACGTTACATACTCAGTACTTACATGGTAAGTCTGCTACAATAATTTAAAAAACCGGGCAATCATTTT